TGCCGCTCGTTCCGGAACCCCCTCCAGGGCTAACGACCCCGCTCTGCCCCCACCCTAGGGCCCGGCGTCAACTACTCCGGCTGCCAGATCACCTGGGCCAAGTTCTGCAAGGTGAGAGCCCCGCTCCGCCTGCCCCGCCCGGGCCTGCGCTCACCAGGCCCCTCTGCTTCCCCGCAGGAAAACATGGCCGGCAAAGGGTTTTCCTTCTGGGTCTGGCTGGACAACATCATCGACCTGGTGAAGAAATACATCCTGGCGCTGTGGAATGAGGGGTGAGCTGTGGCCAAGGCCCCGGGACCCCGCAGCTGGGGCGGGAAAGCTGGCCTGATGGGCTGAGCCGGGCGCTATCAAGGGGCCATGGGGTGGGGGTGTCCACATCCCGTAGCCCGGTGGCTGCCTTGGCCCGTGGTGAGCCACCCCTGGGCTCTGAGCCACGCCGAGTCCTTGGCAATTCCTGAGCTTCGTTTCAAGCGCTGATGCAGATTAGAAAGGGAGGATGCCTACTTTACCGGGGGGGCGGGGGAGGAATTAGTCCCGGGAGCAGCCCTGCGAAGGCCCTGGTGCAGCCTTGGGTCGGGGGGCTCCCCTGAAACGTGCCCCAGCTCCACTCCAAGCTGTGGGCTGGAGCTAGGGTGGAGCTCTGGCCCGGGCGGTACCAGGCAGGCTGGGGGCTCCATGGCTCCTTTCTGACATCCGGCCATGGGGGACACCGAGCCGGCAGAGCATCCTTGGGATGCCTGGGGCTGGACCACAGCACTCTCCTTCCCCTCCCTCCCACTGCAGCATGGGCTGTGCCAGGGCAAGCGGCAGGCAGGACCGTATGAGGGTCAGCGGTTCTGCTTCAGCCACCGCCCAGCGGCTTCGTATCCCCTTCTGCCAGCAGCTCCCGCCGTGCCAGCACCGGTCCAGCAGCTGCAGGGCTCGGGGAGGGAGGTAGCGATGGAGCCAAGCGCAGCCCTGCGGCCGCTGACCATGTCCCTCGGGGCTGTCTCCCTTCTGCCAGGTACATCATGGGCTTCATCAGCAAGGAGCGGGAGCGCGCCATCCTGAGCACCAAGCCGCCCGGCACCTTCCTGCTGCGCTTCAGCGAGAGCAGCAAGGAGGGGGGTATCACCTTCACCTGGGTGGAGAAGGACATCAGCGGTACGTGCCCGGGGCTGGTCACCGAGCCGGGGCGGCGCGTTACTGACCCGCGAGGAGTCTGGGATCGTAGCGCGTCTCGGCTCCGCCCAGCGGGGGTCGGCCGGGATCATGGGCTGCAGTCCCCTGCCAGTGCTCTAACCACTGCTCACCCTTGTCCGTCCTGACGCCTGAGCTGTGTCCCTGCTGCTGTGCTGAGCGCCTGCTGGAAACTGGCTCCCAGGGCTCCATGCGGCCATGCCTGGAGCCTGCCCTGTCTTATGCAACCCTAATAGGAGGGCTGGTGCCGTGGGGTTTTTCCCAAGGGAGCCTGGAACAGGTGTGGGATGGGCCCCCATGAAACGCTTCCTCCTCCCCTTCCAGGGAAAACCCAGATCCAGTCCGTGGAGCCGTACACCAAGCAGCAACTCAACAGCATGTCCTTCGCGGAAATCATCATGGGCTACAAGATCATGGATGCCACCAACATCCTGGTCTCGCCCCTGGTCTACCTGTACCCCGACATCCCTAAGGAGGAAGCCTTTGGCAAATACTGCCGCCCCGAGAGCCAGGAGCACCCCGAAGCTACGGACTCAGGTAGTCGTTGACTTTCCGCGACTGCTGCCTCTCCGGCTGCGGCGCGGGAACGTCGGGGAGATCCGGCAGCCGCTCACCATCCGCCGGTTTACCTGGATCGAGGCTTCCTTTGTTCGTGGGGGGAGAAGCCGTCCTGTCTGCAGCGGGGCAGGCGTCCTGAGAGTGGGGCCGACCAGGGGTGGGACAGACAGCCAGCTGCCTAACCCGCTTTTCTCCCCGCAGGCACCGCGCCGTACCTGAAGACCAAGTTCATCTGCGTCACCCCGTAAGTGTTCTCTGAGGCGGCTGCCGCGGGGCGGCCCTGAGCACGGTGTTGTCACGCTCGCTGGGAGCCCCGGCAGGCGTGCCTTGGCTCTTAGCGCGAGACTCTTTCTTTCTTTTGCAGCCAG